TAAACAAATGAAATATTTTACATTTTAATATTTATTTTACTGGCTATAACTGAGGCTAATATTTTCATTGACATATTTAAAGATGTCTAAATAAATCAGCTTTAACACATAGATTTGAAAATAGTCTGATGGCTCATTTCTAAAAACTAAATCCAAAAGGTCTAAAGTAGCTCCAGCACCTGTGATTAAGCAAACCCTTTCAGTCACAAGCGCAATAAACACAGGAAAAAGCTGCTTTTTGAAAGAGATCCAAGCAACACCTTCACATTGCGGAAAGAAAGTCTAAAAAAAATCCTGTCCAGCTCCAAATGAAGTGAAATGTGAAGGTGACCAAAGCGGTGTGTGTCAGTGGTCAGTGCGGGTGACTGTCTGCTGTCGGTCTGGAGCAGCGGGAATCTGTTAGCGGCCCACAACACCTTGTTTACCAGCCAAGAAGAAACGCTGCTGCCCAAAGGCCTGCTGCCCAAAACCTCTTATCGCTTTCATCGTTTCATTTTCCCTACGAAGAGTGTGGACAAACTGGGAAAAGGCTTGTATATGACGAAAATCTAACATCATGATATAAGTCATCTCCTATCATATATATCATGACAAAGTACTGACCACAATCAAACGACATTTTAAAGTATATGAGAATCAAAATTATTCACCCTGCTGTGAATTTTTCTTTCTTTTTTAAATATTTCCCAAATGATGTTTAACAGAGCATGAAAATTTTCACAGTATTTTCTATAATATTTTTTCTTCTGGAGAAAGTCTTATTTGTTTTATAAAATATTATGTACTGTCATCATGGCAAAGATAAAATAAATCAGTTGTTAAGAATTAGTTATTAAAACTATTATGTTTAGAAATGTGTTAAAAAAAAAAATCTTTTCTCCATTTAACAGAAATTAAGGAAAAAATATATATGGGGCGCTAATAATTTAGGAGGTCTTAAAATGTATATATTTAGAGCTTCAGGGCAAATGTTTGATAAAAAAACATACATTAAAATATACAAAAATATTAATAGAAATGTCAAAAACTAATGATTACAGGCTAAATAAAATGCAAAGATGTAAACATTGTACTTGCTCATTATGCTTTTATTACATATAAACTATGTATTGGTATTACTGTAAACTATGCATATTGTAACACCCTGAAGAAAACAATTAAGCATAATATGAAATTATAGACTTTTTATTGTCTATTCAATATATAATCACCTCGCACGGCCATAGAAAATCCTGCTAAATGCCAAACTCTTAGAGTTTGCAGCTCATACTGTCTATCAGCACCCACACGTCTTATTTTTATCATAATAACAGCAAAAATCAGTCCAAGGCACTTGAAAAAAAGGCTTTTAAATATTTTTTCCACATTTTTCAAGTGCCTTGGACTGATTTGTGCTGCATTATTAAAGTTATTTGCATCAAATTAATACAAATACACAATATAATACATCTAATACTGCGTAATAAATGACAATATAATAAATCATAACCACAAAGAGAATTAGTGTAAATAAATGTTACATTAAGTTAAATTAATAGAGTTACCATATATTAAAATGACACTGTAACACTTTACAATAAAGCTGTATTTGTTATTGTATTTACTAACATGAAGAATCAAAGAAAAACACATTTATTACAAGATTTATTGATATTTGTTAATTTTAATTGGTGGTAATAATATTGTTCATTGTTAGTTTACGTTAAACAAGAATTTGGATTTTAATAATGCATTCATCTATGTTTAATAAACGCTGTACAAATATTGTTGATTATTACTGTATTTCATGTTAGTAAATACAATAACTAACATTACCTCATTGTAAATGTACACCTTTACAGCCCTAGAAAACTGGTGTGTTGCAGAAAATTCCTGCTAAACTAAAAAGTTTGCAGCTCCCACTGTCTATCGGCACCCACAGCTCAAAACACGTCTTTATTTTTACATCGCGCAACACCTCTCAGACATCTCCAACACCTCGAAAAAGCTGTCGAAAGCATCCTGAACGGATGATTCGCTGTGAAATAAGTGATTTACCGCTTGACCGGACTTTAAGGGTCTATTGTCATGGCACTATATACATCCATTTCCCCTTCTGAAAGGAAAAGGCCGGCATTAGTTCCCCTCCTTTCTGTGCTTTACAACAGTGCTCTACAGCCGTCGTCTGACTACAGAACTTGGCATTGCGACCTGGGTTTTTTTTTTATCGGTGTCTGAACTGGACGCCGCAGCTCGTTTGGAGATGAGAGCAGGCACATGTTTTTATCATGACTTCGTGATAATGTGAGCCGTATGACGTGGCCAGCTCCAGAGATGACTAACAGGAGAGAAAGCAATCAATCATTTTGACAAACACACACGAAAAATAACAACTTTTTTTTCGTTCTTTCTGGAGAGATGCTTTTGAAAAACTCCCATTAATCATCATCATTAATACAGCCGGCGTACGGTGAGAAGAGCGAGCGTAATTACGCCACCGTGCTCCTGGGTATTTAACCGGTGCGAGTTTAACGTCATTAATCGCTCCCAAAGGGCAATACGACACGCTTCTCGTCAATAAACCACCAAACAACCGCTTGTCCAACACGCGCTGCTGAAACAGGACCTGAAGTGTACATTTTACATAAACCGTGTGCAAATAATATAGCATGTGTATGCTGGAGTCTGAATGTAAACGCTGATTTTCAGAGACAGCAAAAGCAGAAGTGATCTAAACCAGGCCTGGGTTGTCTTTTTTTTTTTTTGGCAGGCGCTGCTGAGCAAGTTCTAGACGTGCAGCCGAAAAATAAATGCAAATTTTTGCTTTGAGAATAATCTTTACCAAACACAAAGCATATATATATAAAAAAAAAAAAACTGAGTCTGTGAGAATTTTGCAATCATTCACTCATCTTTTATCTTCTGTTAAACACAAAAAAGATATTCTGAAATTATTGGGAAATGTAATCAGTGACCTGACCCTGACCCTAACCTAAACCTACTATAGAAATCACTGGTTGCAGGTTTTCGGCTTTCTTTAAAGTATCTTGTTTGAGTGTTCAGCAGAAATCTCCTTTGAAACCACACTAGGGTGTGTAAATATTCATTTCTGGGTGAACTATTCCTTGTGAGGGGAAAGGGAAAGCCGTTGTTGCAGTATTCTCTCAATATGGTAAATCGGATGTAGTCGGAACAATGAGCCACCGGGCTGCTTTAATAGTGTCCGGATTAAGACAGGAGATGCGGCCGGGGTCAGCAGGAGATCATCTGCGTCCTGGCATACCGTTAAACAGGAAAAGGACGGCATGTTGAACCGGCTAACTGACGCTGAGTTCCACACGGAGTGAAAGGGAAACTCGGCATGGGCAACAAAATCTCTTTCAGAGGCGCTGCCAACAAACAGAATTATGGCTCTGTGTCACAACAAAGGCGAAAAGCATCGTCAAACGCTGCCTGTTCACATACTCTGAGTGCACAGATAATGGCTAAATAACCGAGCTGCCTGTAAATAGCTGCAAATAAAATATTACGCTGTTTGGAAGTGTGTGTGTGTGTGTGTGTGTGTGTGTTTCTGTTTTCCCAGGAACTGCCACCAATGTTGTGACCAGGATATATTTAATACTTCAATTTAATTGCAAAGACCAACGGTAACCTTTAAAACAGTACACAAATTAAATAAATTACATTAATAAAATGAAAACTTTAAAAAATGCAAATAAATTAAACAACAAATGAAGAGTTCAGATGCAAAAACCTCTAAGTGCCATTTAAAATTTCAGTTGAAAATGAACAATTTTCTCATCCTCCTTTGTTTATGTGGATTTATTTTACTTTAAAGATTGTGGAAATAACTTATTTTTTTTAATTAAAAGTGAAATTAGTGAACCTACACATAGTAGCCTGAAAAAAAGGGTCATTTTAGAAGAACATTTCAGATGGCAATTACAGGTTTTTGCATGTGAACTCTTCAAATATTGTGGTAGAACTGTGAAAGGCAATATTTCAGTTATATATGGGCCATTTTTTTTGTTTATTATTAGTATTTGTATTATAAAAATAACATACTAATGGCAAAGATATTATTCTGAAGACGCAGAATAATATATTTATATTAAAATGAAGTAAATGCTGTGTGAAATTAAAATTAAACATGTTTTTGGTTAGTTTTTTTATTTCAAGGCTACTCTTTGCTTGTTTTAAATTTTAATTTAGTCTTCCAACTTCATTTTGACATTTACTGCTTAACAAAATGTATTAATGAATTAATCAAACAAATTAAAACATTAAACATTAATAAAAATATTAAAACAAAACAAAAAATTAAAGCTGATATAACGTTCAGTCAATGAGAATGTGATCATTCTGATTACAGCATTCTTTAAATGCCGCTAAATCAAACGAATGAGTAAAACAAATGAAGACTGAATGGAATATGAATCAATAGGACAGAAAATGTTTGTTCTATAAGAATTTGAGCATTCTGATGATTAATTTCTGTTTACAGCATGCTTTCAATTCTGAGCAAAATACAAAAATAAACAACGATACATTAATTGAGACAGCAGAGAAAGTAAACTAAAAGCAAATGTTCTGTTTATGAGAATGTGTTCAGTTGTGTGTACTAAAGGGCAGCAGTGTAATAAACCTCTGTCTCTTTCTGTGTGTGTGCATGTGTGTGTGTGTCTCCGGCCTTTACACCAGCTGGGAGAACGCCAGCTGTCACTGCCACAATACACAACCTGACATTTTAACACACACACACACACGTATGCACTTCACTATACGCACTACAGCACACATAACCTGCAAAGCAGACACAAAAAGTCAAGCAAAAACTCACACAGTTTTCGCACCTCCAAGTTTCAATGCGAGCACACAAACGATCACAACAGCAACCAATAAAACACAAAGAAACAAAGGGCGTATTTGCATATATTTGCATGCGACTGTGTTTTTGGATCGGAGCCCGGAACTGAACCGGACCGTGTTTCCTGCAGTGGGTTACAGTACGTGCGACTCACCTGGCGTGTGGACGAAGTAGGCCAGATACAGGTCCAGTTCCTTGACGGACACTCCGATGTGGTGCGGCTGCACGCAGAGGCCGTGGTTTGAGCACTGCGGGGACTTGACCAGCCTCTCTCCATCCGTGCTCTCCAGCGGGCTTCCCTTGAACAGGATAACCATCACCAGGTCCAGGCGCCAGACCTTGTCGGCTTGCCGCAGGCAGTCGATGCGGCGGATCTTGCCCTTCTGGTCGGGGTTGGAGAGCACGCAGCACGGCGGCTTCTTCCCCGTGATGGTGAGCACAAAGTCCTCGCGGAACTCGGGGCGGATGTCTTTGCGGAGCTTGGCGAGCAGACGGGACGCCCACTTCTGCTTGATCTCGGGCTTCTCGCCCAGGAGTTCGTCTTTGACGGCGCGCTCCTCATCCTTCGTCATGCGCTTCTCGTGCTTTTTGAAGTATTTGCGCTTACGGGCCTGGAGGTTGAACCAGGTGTAGGAGAACGCACGGACATGTGGCAGCAAAGCCTCGATGAAGGGATGAAATTCATCCTGTTGGAGAGGGAAAACAGATATGTAATTTCAGCAATTTCAGATCAATTAAAAGATGTTGGACAATTTGCAGACCTAAAAATAAGATTTATGTCTTGCTTTTCCAGAAAAAAATATCCAAAATAATAAAAGAAAATCTGTATTTTTTAATATGCTTTGAATTTTAATAAGTCAATAATGTTTATGCTTTACAAAAAGATGAATTTTAAAATTTGATAGAAATAAAAATAAATATATTATCTTAAAACTGCGTTATTCAAGCAAATTGTTTTTTTTTACTGAAAAACACAAAAAAATCAGATTAAGAATTTTTTTTTTTTTTTGCAGATTTTAGTAAATTAAAAATATTAAATTGGAAAATTTCAATTGAAATAATTTTCACAATACAATCATGCAATAAAACTCCCCATAATTTCCGACACATCTAACAGAAATAAATAAAAAGATTTAGCCAATTCGAGTCAACTCAAACAATCATCGCAGAGGCAGTGCAGGAATTCCGGGCTTCTGCGATTCACAAAAAGCAGCTTCTTTAGCTCAAGTCAGGCCAAGAAAAGCTTGGCGATCCCCACGGCAACGGAAGACTCATTCAGCTCTCCAATAATACCTTCACCACACAGCGCTCAGTGACAAAGCCTAAACCGCGCCACGGTGCCCCAGTGCCAGGGCCGCCGTGCCCCAGACCCTCTCCGCCAACTCTCGCCACAACAAGACCACGGCTGAACTGCGTCCCTTCAAGACCTGCCATCAAATCCTCTCTGCAGGCTGCTGTTGTGCAGAAATCCAGGCATGTTCACATTTCGACAATCGAGAAGGCAGATAGCACCATGAAAAGCACACAGCAGAAAGAGAGAGAAAGGCTGGTAGTTACCATTTTGCACTCTCATCATAAATTTGGCACGCCGTTCAGGAAGAAAAAAAAATCCACCCGCACCAGTTCTTTGCCACTCACGCCGAAACAACAACTGCTGGCTTGGCAGAGAAGAAGAATTGGCGACAAAAAAAAAAAAAACTTGGGTAAAAAGGAAAAAAAAAAAAGGACTGGAGATGCTCCAACTGCCGGCGGAAAGAAGTTAATTTCAAGATCTGAAAATGTTCTTTTGCTTTGCTTTTGCTGCAAACGGTTCCAGGTAAAATGTGATGGTATGAAATAAAAAAAAGTGATGGAATTTTTCTTAAAATTTTTAAAATTACAAAGAATTTTTAACAATTATTGGATAAAAAGTGTGCACACAAAACTAACTATAAACGCATTCAGCGTTCAAAATAAACGCTCTTGCTTTCCAAATAATTAGAAAAAAAAAATCTAAACAATGCCGGAAAAAAAAAAATCCTTGGCAAAGCGCAATGAGTGTTTTCTTAGATCTTTGGATCCGGCAAAAAACTCAGAGAGCGTGGCACACACATAACGCAGGCACATGCATGCACACTCCTGCCACGAAGGGGGGTGGGGGGGAGCTGGCTAATGCAAAGCACAGAATACGGGCAGGAAGAAGAAAAAAAAAAGAGAACCGAATCAATGTTGGACGAGCTCGCAGGACCGCTGGCAAACCCAAGTGCTGCTGCTTTTTTTACTCCTTTTCTCTCCAACTCTCTCTCTCTCTCCCTCGATCGCTCGTCCTCTCCGCGTTCTTTCCTTAACCATTGCCTGAGTCTTTGCCAACACGAGCAGGGCCCACCTATTTGGCAACAAGATGCCTGTAGCTCAGCCAATACGTTAGCTTGAAGAGCTGAAAGGGAGGGGAAAGAGAGAAGGGGGGCTGGTGGCAGAATGAGAGAGAGAGAGAGAGAGAAAGAGAGAGAGAGAGAGCACGCAGTCCAGTCCGATGGTGTACAATTTGCCAGTCTGACAAGTTCCGATCTTCCACCGAGGCAAAGTTCAGCATCCCATCAAGCTCGTCATGGCAACCATGTTTTTAAGTCTGGGTTGTAGTCGCCGTCGCTGTGGTTTACGCGACCCTCCCTCCCTCCTCCTCTCTACCAGCTTGCGTAATGCCACCTTGGCACAGGGCGATGGGAGAAAGCGCTCTCTCCCAAACTCCCAGCAGACCCTGCAGCCGGCAGCTGCTCGTGGATTTAGCGGCCGAGACAAAGACGAAAGCAACCATGCACCCCGTGTGCATCTCTAATTTAAAACAAACATATGCCGTGTTTGTCTGCAAAAGCACCAAAAACAAGACGCTCAATGAAGCGGGCCTATCTGACCCGTCTAAAAAAAAAAAAAAAAAAACTTTGGAAAGTTGTCTGGGAAAATGTTTATTGCGAAAGTCTCAGAATCTCCTATTAGGCATCAGATATTTAAAACAAAACAATACAAACCTAAAATTGTTGAGCGCTAATAAGCCTGATTACAGATTCTGAGGTCACTCCAAGAAAAAAAAAATTAAACGAGCGAGAACTCAAACTAATGTTTCATATCTGAGATGTTTTCCCAAATAATTCAAAGTTTATGTAAATTAGTAGACATTAGAAATGCAGCCATGAATGATCTAAAATGCCTTTCTCGCATGCAAATACGGCTGTTTTAAAAACATGTAATCATAATCCGAGTTTTGGGACCAGTGTTAATTTCGTCAAGTTTTTCGTCATAATTTCCGTGACGAACAAGTTTCTACAGACAAAAACTAAACCAAAACTTTAAAAAATTAAGTGATGATGACGACAATTAAAATAAAAAATATATATTACTGACATTTTCTTTGACTAATAAAACAAGACGAGAATGTGATAGGGGGACGTTTTTTGGAAGATATCCAATCAGAATTAATCTTGGTGTGTGATGCATGATGACACCAAGTCAGGTTACATCCCAGACACATGCAGCAAATGCTCAGTTGAAAAAGGTACACTTTTGAGGTGTATGTGGGATTGCCCGGAGGAACAGGAATTTTGGAAAGAGGTGGCTATATTCATTTTTGAATTGGTATCTATACAACTACCCATGAAACCCGAAATGCTTATTTTGGGAATTACTTGTGAAAATATAGACTGCCACAGCAGTACTGGTAAACTTTCTAAGCAAAGCGTTTAATAGCTATGTACTGGAGGAAAATGGAAAGGCCATCTATTGTACAGTGGATCAATAATAAGTCCTTCTGCTTAGCTATGGAAAAGATTTCATACATGTTAAAAGGTAAACTTACAGCCCTTGAGAAAATGTGGACACCCTTTATATATCTTATTTCAAATTCAAATTTCAGCAATTTACTAAATGAAACAGGAAAAGACTAAATCAACTGACATTGACTTAGTCTATTTACATACTTCTCCTTTTTCCAAAGATTTGTTTAAACAAGCCATTGTCATATTGATGTTGATTTGTTAAAAAAAAAATGATCCACAGTGGAGGCGGGATGCAATTACATCATCATAAGAGTAAAGTAGATTTAGTCAATTAAATTTTTTTTTAACTAAAACTAAAATGATTCAGAAGACTGAATTTTAGTTAAGACTAAGACTAAAACTAAATTTGCTGTCAAAATTAACACTGTTTGGGGCTACTTTAATTTTGAATTCCAAGAGTTTCTTACGCCAGATCAGAATCTCCTGTTAGGCATCAGATATTTAAAAACAAAACAATACAAACCTAAAATTGTTGAGCGCTAATAAGCATAATAACAGATTCTGAGGTCACTCCAAGTAAAAAAAAAAAATAAAGATAGCGAGAGTTGAAACTAATGCCTCAATTCTGAGACAATTTCCCATATAATTCAAAGTTTTATGTAAATTATTTTACATTAGAAATGCAGCCATGAATGATCTAAAATGCCTCTCTCTTTTGTGCATGCAAATGCTGCTGTTTTAAAAACATGTAATCATAATCTGAGTTTTGGGACTACTTTAATTTTGCATTCAAAGAGATTCTAAAACAACAGCTGCATATACACTGAAGCAGAGATTCCTTGAGATCTGAAAGCCTGAGCCTGCTGATCAAACTCTTGTTGATGTTCAGAAATCAGCGAATGACTGCTTGGAGGGGAAAATCAAACAATAGGAAAAGGAAATTGATTTGAAATGCTGGATTAGCCAGCGTATGCAAATATCTCTTAAATGAGAGACTAAGAAAACATCACTGGTCGGATGTATGGTGATAACGCTCTCCCGTCGCAGTAAAACTCTTCATTAGTGTTTCCTCTTTCAAATCCGAGCCTACGTGTCAAAACCAACACCTGCTTGAGGTCTCTAATAAGATGCTAATTGAAGCACACAACCAGAGGAGAGCTGCATTTGTTTATGAATGCGTTTGTTTCAATAAAAAGCAGCACCTTTATTTCAAACAATCCCGTCTCTGTTTGAAACACAGCCCTTAATGGCTTCCTCTAGTGCTACCAGTGTGAGTATGAGATAATTAGGGCCTGATCAACATGTGCATTTGAAAATTCACTTGCCTAAAGCACATCTATAGAATGACAGCAGCGGAAAACAGGCCAAAAGAAAGCATTTCACCAACCAAAAATGTATCATTACTATTTGAAAGAAGATTTTACTATTTTAACATTACAAAATGCTGTTTAATACTGCAAATAAAATCAATAACTCAGGCTATTTAAATAAATAAATAAATAAATAAATAAATAAAGGGGTAGACACTAAACAGCCTATATTTTAAAAATAGCAATTGTGCATGTTGTAGAGGATACATTTTATGGAAAGATTATTCATTTTGATTAATTAAGGCATTAAAAAGACTTTGTAGTCAACGAAATTTTGTTATAATGACATGGAGTACATGGATTCACAAAACCATAATTTATACTGACACGAAAAGCATATATATATATATATATATATATATATATATATATATATATATATATATATATATATATATATATAAATTAAGGGGCATAAGATTGGATTGCATAATCATAACTATATCGAAAATTAAATAAAGCAAGTACAAGACCATGTGTAACAAAGCACTTTGTCAGTTATAAAAACAATGATGCCAAGATTAAATACAGCCTACAGTTTTGATTAAAATAACAAGCCAGATACTA